ACGCTTCACGGCCTGTCAATGAGCATTCCCGTAATGACTTAAAAAACGACTTACAACATTAATTGCAAACGCAATGTCCGGACGCGAAACCGTGGCTAAGAACATAAGCCATCCGATCGCTTCGCGAAAAGGTATCTCGGTCCGGTGTCCTTCGTCCTCCTCGGCTGAAAGAAGTGTGGTGTGCGGATCAGCGGGGACGCTCACAGCCTTGGCCTCGTCCATGCGGAACTTGCGAATTATCCGTTCGGTGTATGCTCTCTGGTGAAGGAAAATGCTCTTGTTTCTCCTGTCTCGTTCAATTTGCAGTCCGATGAAAATGCTCGCGTCACCCAATGTGATCTCGAATGATTCTCGCAACGAGTGAATTATCGAGTCGAGAACGCTTCGAGATTCCGATGCGATTAGCCCGTCATCCACGAAGAGAGCCAGGTAGACGGTGGAATCCTCGATGGTGCCATGAAAAATGCATCTATCAGCCTCACTCTCCATCAGGTTGAATTTTCTCAGGAAGCTAGAGAATTTCTTGTTCCAGCATCTGGAGGATTGTTTTAATCCGTATATTGATTTTTCCAGTTTGCAGATCATCTGTTCGCGTTTGTCGTCAACAACTAGACCCTCGGGGACGTCCATAAAAGTTTCTTCAGCGAGTTCACCATATAGGAAGGCGGTCTTCACATCGAATTGAATTAACTCGAGATCCTTTTGGGCCATCGCCAGATATATACGTAGCGAGTCGTATCGTACGACAGGCGAAAACGTCTCGGTGTAATCGAGGCCTTCTTTTTGCTTGAATCCTCTAGCACATAACCGCGCTTTGAAGCGACTAGTGTTTTCTGGCGTTGTCTCTTGAATTTTGAAAACCCATTTTGAGTCAATCGACTTGTGGTCCTTTCTTCTGGGTAATAGCGTCCAGGTGCCATTCTCCTTGTGAGCTCGTAGTTCATCTTCGATTGCCTTGGTCCACTTCCTTGCATCTGGTCCTGTTACGGCTTCTTGATATGACTTCGGAACGTTCATTTCTGCAATGTTTGCTTCATATCTTTCTGGAGGCTTTAGAGATGATCGATCCCTTAATTTTCGTGCTGCATGAGGTGGTCTCTCATCTTCCGACGCTGATGTGATGGAATCTTCATGCACCGTTTCTTCTTCCATTTGCCTTTCAGCATCTTTTTGATCCTCGTTGGTTTTGTCCCTATTTTCTGGAAATACTGCTTCGAAGGTCGTAGGCTCGCTTATGGATGGAGGACTGGGCGCAGTCCTTTCGTTAAAAGTGACATCTCGTGACACTGTAAACTTCTTTGTCTTCGGGTCGAAGTGCCTGTAGTTGGTGGAATCGCCTTGATAACCCACCAATACCAGTTTTCTTGCCTTTTGATCCAACTTCTTCCGGAACTGCTTGGGTATGTGCGCGAACGCTTCAGATCCGTAAATCCTCAGGTGAGATAGGTTGGGCTTCTTCCCGTTCCAGATCTCGTATGGCGTTGTTCCTGGTGTTTGCGTGCATGTGGTCCTATTCAGGATATAGATTGTCGCATTGACCGCTTCTGCCCATAGTTTCAGAGGGAGATTTGCTGAATGGATTATGGTGCTTGCGCTCTCGACAATGGTCCGATTATCTCGCTCTGATTTTCCATTTTGCTCCGGGGTATAAGGTGCTGTACTCTCCATTTGGATTCCGCGAGCGGCGAGATATCTCTTGAATTCCCCTGAACAGTATTCACGGCCGTTGTCCACACGTAGTCGTCCCAATGGATGTCCAAATTTATTGGCTACCAGACTCTCGAACTCCTTGAACTTGTCCAGGACGTCTGATTTGTGTCTGACGAAATATACGAATCGGAAACCCGAAGCATCGTCTTTGAATGTTACAAAACATCTGGCACCCCCAAGTGACTCTTCGGACATTGGACCACATACGTCTGAATGTATGTATTCTCCGGGCTTTGACGGTCTCCTCAGGTTGTCTCGACTGAACGGAAGTTTGCATGCCTTTCTGAGCTGACAGGATTCACAGAAGAAGTCGTCTACGTCGGACAGTTTGACTCCTTGGATGAAATCCTTTTGAGCCATTTCCCGCAACGTTCGCTTGTTGACGTGGCCAAGTCGCTCGTGTCATACTCGGAGATTTGCCACGGATAGGTTGGCTTCCTGCTTAACTTTGATTCTAAAAAGCATTCTATAAATTTCATTCTCTTGTTTCGTACCTTGCGCCGCGATTTCGCCATTCCTAGATATTGTAACGCGATCTTGCTTGAAGAGAATATTGAAGCCTTTTGATGCGCATACTCCCACAGAGAAGAGATTCTTCCTCATCTTGGGCACGTAAAGTACGTCGTCGATGCGTCCCTCTTGCCATTTTCCGTTGACCAGCTTCTCAATGAAGATCGTTCCCGAACCTAAAGCTTGACATTCTTTGTTATCGTCCAATGACACAGAAATGTTGTTAGTGGGATGGAAATCGCTGTACCAATCCCGACGATATGTGATATGTCTAGAGGCTCCGCTATCTGTAAGCCATACCTCTGAAATGTCTTTGTTCATTATCGCGTTCACCTGCTCTCCTGTTGGTTCGACGTTCTGGGTGCGTCCTGCTCGGCCGCTTCCACATGTAGAACACATAACCATGAAAGCACATTCCTGCGATCCATTCTTGTCCGCTTTCGTCCGATCTTGTTCCGGGTTCTCGTCCTTCTTCTTACGACAGTTTCGCTCGAAGTGGCCTTTTTTGTGGCAGTAAAAACACGCAGATCCCTTCTTCTTGTTTTGCTGCCCTTTTTGCTGTCCCTTGACACCAGGCGCCGTTGGTTTCTTGTTCCCGTTCATGCTCATGGCGGCGAGCGCATTCGCAGTCTCGTCCTCGACTGTCATTCGACTTTCCTCCTTGATCAATCGCTCTAGTAAGTTAGCCAGGGTTTGATCGGTCGTCGCAACACTGTCCCAGGCTGTCTTCAGAGGATTGAACTTGGATGGAAGGCTGGCGATAATTTTCGCCATTATGGCGACATCTGAAACGTTCTCGCCGAGGTCAGTCAGAACGCGTGCCATGTTACGTACTTTTGCAACGTGTTGTACGACGGAATCGTTCGGGCTCATTCGATATTCGTGGAAACGCTGCGTGAGAATCAGCTTGTTCGACGCTGATTTCTGCTCGTGGATAGTACTCAGATGGTTCCACATGTCTTTTGCGCTTGTGCATATCAGTAGACTTTCTAGCTGTGAGTCTTCAATCGATGTGGAGATTAAGACCATCGCTTTTGCGTTGTCCTTTACCCATTGCTTGCGAGCTGCGGCATTCTCGTTAGTCTCCGGGGGCATCTCTCTGTCGCCGGTTACCACGTCGTAAACGTCGTTCGCGACAAGGAGGGAGGTTATCTGGAACTTCCATATTTGGTAGTTTTTCCCGTCCAGCTTCGTCACGTTTTTCGTGGAAATTGTATCCGACATCGTTAGTACGGTATACACGGGACTCGGGATGTCGTCAAATATGGCGGACTTACACTGTGTAGCGGCGAACGCCTCTTCACGCTCAGCGACGAGAGTTTTGAGTCTCCTTGTGCCCTACTGTTACTTTCGCAGTGAGCTGGGTGGCCTGGGCCCATAACCTGTTGTAGCAGAGCGTGGTTCGTCCGGAGAGGATATAGGGAATGATCGTCGTAATATTCAACCTCAGATCCGACTTCTGGTTTCACAGATTTTTATTAGACTTGTAAAAGTAACACACATGTCACGTGTCGAGAGAGTACGGACAACGACTGACCGCGCTGCGACGCTGGCGTGCCCGCGTAGGGGAACAAACAAAGAAGCCTCTTATTGGCTGCCAATATACGTGGCGACACGGAACTACGCGAAGCGCGATAATCAAACATTAAGAAATCAAACCTTAACAGAAAATACACCTAAAACATATCCATTACAAGAAAGCAATAGATCATACGTTGCTGGCTGGGTTGTAAAAAAGGTTTTGTCAATAAAGACATTTAAAAATTGTATAACATGTAAAGAAAGTCTTAAGTACCGACACATCACATAAAAAATATGTAATCAATGCAGAATATGTTAAAGAAAAACAATCTCTAACGTATCCATCTATCTGCTTTTTGAATATATTTATTGAAGCTGATTCTGTTTTAAATGAAAATATTTCTTCATTGTGTTTTCGCAAAAATGTTTCTGTTTTACTTCGTGAGCGTGTGTACGAAAAGCTAAACTCAAATTTTGTTAAATGCGTCGAACATAAAGAAGAATTAAAACTTGCTGTTATACAAGTTATTATTAAATTATTTCTATACATATACATTTTGTAAAACCGTGAACAGAATTTTATCTGGTCGTGACACTCGATACGTAGCCAGTAACATTATATATTTAAGCTAGCTATTGAACATTATAAAAAAAAGCAAAAAAGATATGTAAGAAAAGGATAAATTTTTATACATATGTATAAATGTGCTACCACAAAATATAAAGCATTTTATATTGCGATATACTGTACAAACATGAGTTAAGGTGTTTATGTGGGCTCTTTCGAAACATAGAGCAGCTAAAGCCCGCTGCAGACGATGCTATTTTTCCTGCTGGATTGCTTGCGTTTTAGTAAATTACTATCATTGCACCACTCAGCACTCAGGATTCCTAGTAATTTAGTAAATCGCAAGCAGTCCAGCAGGAAAAATAGCATCGTCTGCAGCGGGCTTAAACTTTCAGTAACCGACTCACAACACCGGGGGGGAGGGGGACAACAAACGTATAAGTGTATAACGTATGAGTATAAGTGTAAATTTTTTGTTTTTAAATAATATATAAGATAGATTTACACTATATACATTTAAATATATTATAATATTTGTACCTAGTATTATTTCTATTAAAAATTAGATTTTTATATATTACTGAAAATTGCGGTTAATTTAATAATAATAAATGTTATATATTATTAAATATTAAAATAAATACATTCTATAATTGAAAATTTTTATTATCAGATTTATAACTTACTGCATACCTCTCCTACGCCGACATTTGCCATTTTTTCTATGTATAAAGTATTTTTATTAGTTTTCATATAATATAATTAGTATGTTCGCTCTGTGTCGGTACTTCTGATCTTTTTCATAAAATTAAAAGCACCGATATAGAGAATTAACATATTGATTATACTTCATTTCTTTAATGTTGCATTGTGGTGTAGCATTATCGCAAGGCGGGAGGATATTGTCGCGTACTGGTGTAATATTGTCTGGAACATCTTTTACTGGACGGTCTGTCATTGATGATGGAGCATAATCTTCATCGTTAAAAACATGTGGATTATAGGGCCAAATTCCTGGTTTTTTAAATCCTTGAATTGCATTTTGAACTGAT